GGGGGGCTGTGGGGTCTGTCGCTGGGGCATATGGTGGGTCCTGGGGGTCTGCGGGGTCTGTCACTGGGGGGACGTGGGTGGCCCTGGGATGGCTGCGGGGTCTGTCGCTGGGACTGCAGGGGACAGGGCACTCGCTGTGGGACCAGAGGGGTGCCCGTCACAGGGGCTGGAGGCAGGTGGGTGGGTTTTGGCTGGAGGCACGTGAGGGGCACCTCACGCTGCCGCTGCGGGGTCAGTCAGGGGTCCCTCCCCGGGACCTCTCTCCCAGCGGGGTGGCCGTGGCACAGGCGTGGGGCAGCCCCGCCTGGGTGCGGTGGGCTCACTGTGGGGCAGGGGGGCTCTGGGCGGTGCTAGCTGGTAGGGACATGGAAAGGAGTCAGAAAAGGCTTTGGGCAAGGGGACAATGTCTGCTGGGGAGGGGGCGTGGTGCGCTGCTTCCCCGTTGTGGGGGCTTGGGGAGAGGCTGGGGCTCGGGCACAATGCTCGGGGGATGGCAGGACCGGCTGCGGTGGGGGCAGGCTGAGAGGAGACAGCAGCAGATGCTTTGGGAAACTTTTGGAATACGCCCCCAGGGCTTGGAGCATGGGGGCTTTGGGGAACATCCCCCAACCTAGGGGATGCAGCCAAGGCCTGGGGAGAGAGGAGCAGGGGAGAGAGGAGCAGAACAATGAGGAGGTGGCCCTGACTGCGGAGAAGGAAGGTGTGACCTAGCTGCTGTGCAGGCACACATCCTCTCTAACCCGCTTTTTGTGTCCACCAAAGTCCTGGCTGCACTGATTAATGGTTTTGTAATTAAAGTCTGCAGGAATTCTGAGAGCTGCGATGCTCCTTGGTAGCCCTCGGTCGCTGTGGAGGGAGGTGCAGGACGCTGCAGGTGGCCTTCCTTCTTCTGTCCCCACCCTGTGCCATTGCAGCACCAGGTCCCCCAGCCTGCGGCTGGCGAAGACTGGTGTAGTCAGAAGCAGGTACTGGTGGCTTTCCATCCGCAGGACTCCTGGGCCTGAGGACAGCCACCGTATTTGCTTTTGAAATTCAGATGACAAATACCTGTGCTTTATTTCCTGAAGGAATTTGCTATATATACAGAATCATTAAAATTCGTGACTTGGAAGTTTCTTGGTCCAAGATCTGGATTGTAATTGTCTTGAAATTGCTGTAGAATGACCCACAAACGATAATTGTTGGAGCAAGGGTTTGGTATTGATGTGTAAACCTGCTAAAGGAGGTTGCCTCCTGAAGTCTCAAAAGGTTCTGTTGTTAAGCCCTAAAAGCAAAACACAGTGCAACTCAGCACAAAAGTCAGGACAGAATGACCACCCGTGCTTGTTCTTTATTGTCCCTGGGCAGGCTCCAAATCTTCTCTGATGTTCTGCATAAACCCTACTCTTGCTGCTTCGCTAACCGCAGCAGAGACTTTGTCGCATGCCAGGACACTCAGTGCCTCGGGCTTATGGTGTACCCAGAAGGGTCGTGAATTCATGGAGAAGGTCTTGCCAGCAGTTTCTCTTTTTTTTGTATGTATTTCATAGCAGCGCTGCTTAGGTGATCACACTGCACTGTTGTCAGTTGTGGTGGTTGTAGAGAGAATTACCTTGGGCCATTTAGGACTTTGTTGGTGAAAGGCAGCATCTTTTCATCGATTGCAGGACACGGGTACCAGATCTTCTGCATGGTCGGGCTCTGCTTGAGCAAATGTTATCAGCCTGCCCGTAGCAGTAGGGGATGCAAGGCTTGGGGGTTTTTTTAGCCAGCATTGCAAAGGTCTGGGTCTGGATGCTGCTGGACCAGTGTATGGCACTGCCTGAACTGGAATCCCTTTTATACGTTCATGTGGCTATTAATATGCTGCAGGATAGCTGCTTTTGCTCAGCCAGAGTAGCTGAAGCAGCCTATGTTTTGAGTGTAGACAGGACTCTCTCTGCCTGCCAGATCCTGCAGTAACCTTTCTAATGGGCTTGAGGGCTTAGGCCGTCTAGGTAGAGCAGATGCTGACTGTGGGGAGAGCTGCTGTGCTGGGGAGAGTCGCAGTCTTCTCTGGAGGTGAGCAGGCTGGGTCACAGCCATTAGCACTCAGTTTTTAAGCAGATGCTCTCAGTCTGGGGATTGGGGCGAATCTGGGCCTCGCAAGCCTGGGCTGGGAATGAAGTTGCCTTGGAGATTGGCAAGATTGTTAAGCACGGATTGAAGAGAGATCCTGATCTCTCCCAGTAATTATGTATAGGTTAACCCCCAAGTTGTAAAGAGTCTTTCATCAGTTTCTCACTGTGATGAGTCTTCTGTCATTAACCTCTCCTGAGTCTTTCTGTCTACAACAGATCTCTACAGGGGTACACAGCAGTAAGGTTAATCGTAAACTGGGGGTTGGAGGTGCCGGAGAACAGGGGGAAAAGGATTCTTTTCTCCCCATGACTGAGGAATGCAGGGTCGTTTGGGTATTTTACAGCCTGGCAGGGGAATTATCTGAAGTGACAGGACTTCTTCCTTTTCCCTGAGGCTCTCGCTTAGGTGCTGTCCACGTGTCAAGGCAATTCTCTGCAGACAGCTGGCAGAGTGCAAAGTTTAGTAGTATTTGCCTGCAGATGAGTCAGCAGAAGAGAAATAGCTTGTTCCTGTAAAGTGGTATGATCTTGTAGGCAAAGCAGCACATGATAGTCACATCTGACTGTGCCAACGCCTTCTAAGTTCAGAGGGACGATAGGGGAGCCTGGGAGCAGGCAGTGCCACCCGGGGAGCCTGGGAGCTGTGGGTTTCGGAGGGGCCTCGCTGCTCCAGTGTGCCAGTCTTGCGCTGACTCAGATCCCTGGTGGGAAATGCATCAGCTTTGGGCTGGAGCATTTACTGAGTTGTTGCAGTAAGCTCTTGTTTTGCACAGACTTCGAGTTTAAGTAGCAGGATGAGTGTAAGTAGCAGGATTTATTTTGCCTTGGTGTGTAAATCTGCAAGTGAAAAGCAGCAGAGGTGGCAGAAGAAATCCTGCTAGTGCATGTAGATTTGCAGATAATATTCTTCAAGAAATTCCTGGGGACATCAAAACACAAAGAATGCAGATGGGCCAGGTCCTCATGCCATCAGTGTGCTTAGGGTGCAGAAATAGCTCATCTGCTTCTCAGGTGTAGTGTGAGGCAGGCAGTTCTCTGACACCACCAAGGCTAAACAAAGCATCGGCACTGTCCATGAAGATGCAGACAGTGAGATAAGGCTTTGGCTAAGTAAGAAGATTTGCCGCGCCTATTTTGACCTTCTCCATCTGCCAGAGGTGTTAACTTTGGTGTTGTGGTTAAATTCCAGCTCGGATGATGGTGTAGTTAACTCACACTAAGGGAGAAGCTTTAAATTCCTTCCCTGCCTATGTATTTTTTTTTTCTTTGTGGTAATCAATGCTTGTCCTTCTTCCCTCCCAGAAGTGGCTGCGTTTCAGTGGGAAATGACTTGAGCTTTGTAGCATTACTCTCAGTAAAGTGTTGGATGATTTCTGAAGGCTGTTATTGCCACAGTTTAAAGAAAACTCCTATTTCTCCCTTCGACTGCTTCCCCTCCTTCATTCAATATCTGCACTTGGGGACTGAGGAGTGATTCCCTGACGGAGAGAGCAACTCTTCTCCCCTTGGCAGTCAGCTGCTCCTCGCAGAGCCGGTACAACTCTCTCTCTTGAGGTGAGCTAGCTGGCAGGTGATGCAAGGTGCTTCTTTGATACAGGATGTGCACCAAAGAAGTAAGTTTCAGAAGCAAAGCCCCAAGTGTTTTGTAAAGTGTCACCGAGACTGTGATCTGCCCATGGCTTTCCCAAATGGGGCACTTCTTAACTTTGCTCCTAGCAAGCAGTTTCTCATGTTCAGCACAGACTCAGTAATGCAGGAGGGTGATGCCTTAAACAAAATAGAACAATGTTAATATTTTACAGCAGGGCTCGCTCTTCTGATTATGCCTGGTTTTTATCTTGGAGTTTTTCAGAATGAGCTTTGAGACTTTATCTTCTCTTTCCCCTTCCCCATCTGCTGCAAATGTAATTAATTTTAGAACAGCCAGTGTTTTATGCATTTGGGGAAGCAAAACCATGTGCTCATGTGTTAAGCTCAGCTACAGATGCTGGATCCCATTGTTAGTAAGTAATTGTTTGAGATGCTATTTTAGTCATTTGGGTCAAAATGAAACATTCTAAGATTAGTAGCTTTATCGCAGTAAGGTATGGTTTGTTTTTAAAAACGTGTTCCCAGTTTTTAACGAAGACAAGTTTGGTGGTGGGAGGACTTCCCAGAAACACACTAGCCACAGGACAGAGGTTTTAAAGCTTTGAAGAGTGGTAAAATTATTGTTTAATTTCTGCGTTAATTGGAGTAATTGGCACAGCTACATCACTCATGAGGTGCGCAGCCCAGCTCTCCGGACATTGGAGAGGCTCCTTCAGCAGCATCTAGCCTGTAACATCAGAGCAGATAGAGCATATCTGTGCTGTCCTCAAAGCAGGTTTCTCCCTTGGTATGTCAGGTAGAGCTGCTGCTGGGTGGCTGGTGCTGTCTGACCACTGCTGCTTATTTAATGCAAAGCAAATCCATTCGCTTAAGCTATTGTTTGCCATCATTTGACTACGTATACCCTGAGAAGTGGAAAAGTGAATTAGGGTGGAGGAAAGCGGATGGTTGGGTGTGGGAGGGGTTGGAAGAAGCTGTTGGAGATTTCTCCTGGGCTCGGACAGTGCTGCTGTACATCAGCACAAAGCACGGTGTTGCCCTGTGCTGTAACCTGCAGTTCTTTGGCTGGCCGTGAGCTCTGCACCCATCAGCAAGACGCTGGTGATAACTCAGCAGAGAGTGTACTTGTGTGCAGAGAAGTCTGGTTGCTCTGATGGGCCAAGCTAACGTGGGAAGAGCTTTACCTGTTTGTGCGTGGAGGATGCTATGTCTGTACTTCAGCACCAAAGCCTCTGCCAGCGCTTTTTAATATTTTGCTGGGCAGTGGTTCAGAATGTCTGCATTCAGGATATTAACAGACCTTTTAATTGTCTCCGAAGGGAAGGAAAGCGAGTGGTCAGAGACCAACAGGTGACTTGAAACAGTGAAATTATTTTGACCAACTAACAAGAAAATCTGCTGCTGTTTTCCCCCACTGTTTCCATGAACACTGGTGTTACTTGAACCAGACACAGAGGTCTGCTGCTTTTTGTGAACTGGATGGTTTCTGACAGGACCATGGTAGTGAAGTAAATAACTGATACAGAGTGTGTTTGCAAGATGGCGCCTTGCAAAACCTAAGAATTACTTGTGTCATACCCTGTGTTTTCACAGAGGTACTCTGAAGGCTGCTGCATTTATAGCACAGATCTTGCCTGAAAGTAAAATATTTGCTTAAGTGTTTGAAGGCTTGGAGCTCAGGGTTGCAAACTCTTTTTGCCTGAGATTGCTTTTGCACACTTCCGTATGTTTGTCTGTTCTTAGGAAATAGTAAATTAATTACTGGAATGGGGAAAACTCGACAAACTTGACTTGCAGGCATTACGGAGTGAGTGCCGGATGGCTCAAGCAGTTCTGAAATGTCATTGTGGCTGCTCTTCACCATCACTTTTGTCTTCTCCCCAGTATTTTTTTTGGCTCCCCACACACCTAAAATTCTCTTTTCCTGTTCTTAGTGCATTGTGTTAGGTCTAGCAGAGCAGTCTGGGATACTTACACGTGTGTAGCCCAAAAACAGTTCAGCTGTGTTTGGCCCTAATGCTGTTCGTAAGGTATCATCTTGTTGATGCTAGGTGGGGAGAGCGGTATGTTTGTGTGTTATTAAACTGTGTTTGACTCCTTACTTTGGAACATTCCTTAACTTGGAGTCATTTGTGCTTGAGTGAGTCCGATCGCTAAATCTGCTTCACAGATTCACAAATCAAGCCCACGCTTCTTGGTTGCTAAACAGCAGAGCTTTGCCCAGCAGCCCTTACTGAGGACAGTCCCAGCTTGTCCTGAGTAGGAACGCTCGGCAGAAACTCTCTGCCTAGGAGAGGGGTGGTGTTCAGAGGGACATCTGCCCTTTCTCATACCTCGCGCTTGCCCCACCTAACATGTTCCAGCACACACACTGCATGTGGGTGGGGAGACATTTTAAATTCCACATGGCTCTTATTATTAGGGTGTTGAGGCACACACATAAGCATCATTTCTGGGCGGAGGGGTTATGCAGCTCTCAGGAATGGCAGGTCAGAAGTACCATTTGCTGCACTGGAGAGCTGCACACTTCAAGTGAGCGAGAGAGGTAATGCTGCTCTTTAGTTATAAACTTTGCAAATCTCGCACCTTGTCGTGGTTTAATCTAGCACCTGTCGTGGAAACCAGGACACACCTGTTTCTAACTCCTGCAGCAGCCGAAAAGGGAATATTTGCTGCCATGTCTTTCTATGAATCCCTAGCTTTGCTTCAGCTCTGTGAAGTGCTGGGCTTCCTAATCCAGGGCCCTTTTGGGAAGGTACAATGACTCCAGCTCAAAAGCACAGATAGCTTATTTCTAGATAGCTGTCACGATTTCTGTCCTACACTGGTTGTCTGTCTGTCTATTCATCACAGAAGCAGTTCAGCTGAACCACCGCTAATTACAACCTGGTACGTAAAGTGCCAGAAGTAAGTGTGCCCTAATGTGGTGTCAGCAGCTGCTTCACCATCGGCTGAGTCACCACTGCAGTGGGGACAGGGGATGAGAGGGGAGCATGGTGGCAGCCATCCCAAGGTGAGCTGTCCCCACTGGCGAGCTGCAGCTTGGTCTTACACAAACAACAAAGCAAACAGCAAGCCAGCTAGTTATTTAAGTTATGACCATGGGTTGCACCCCCTCCCTCACCCTTGTCCTTCTGCTTAAACCTGCTCCTTCCTCTCTTCAGGATTGTACAGGGATGCAGTACACCCACCAGCTGTCTTGGGGGAGGCGGGGGGCGCACAGAAGGCTAGAAGAGTGTTTGCATTCATCAGAATGAGAGCTGGGGGAGGGCTGAATACGGACTGGGCATGCCTTAATCCTTAGGTTGCTTTTCAGATGCTAAAATAGGATAATTAGCCTTGTAGTAATGATTTATAACTTGCATTGCAACTCTTGTGCGAGTTTCTCTCCAGCCAGCTGACTGCTGCATGCTTCTCTCTGCAGAACAGCTCTGAGTTGCATTAAATGATTCAGTATTCCCACCAGGCACTGTTTGTCAAGCCTTGGCAGCTGATGCCAAATACAACTGGCTAAGCCCCTTGTTAGGTGGCTGTGTCTTTGCGCTGACCTTCTGTACGCTGTGCCTGCTGTTGACTGATTCTGCTTTGGAAGAGCTGAGAAATATCTTTTTTTTTTTTTTTTTTCTTTCTTTTCCCCCCCTCTCCTTCATTTTGTTCCAGTTCTCACTGGACGTGCTTGGCAAGATGGAGCCGCCGTCCTCCTCCAGGATGAATTCCCGAAAAAGAAGAAAAGATGGATCTGGCCCTAATGGGGCGACAGAGCTGGACGGAATCCCTCAAAAAATGTCCCGACGCTCATTCGTAAGTAAGCAGAGATAGGAGCTTTAGGTGCCTGTGAGATTAGGACATTGAGCCGTAACAGCAGAAAGATAAATGTGATGATTTTTCTGTGGACACAGAAAACAAAGCAGGGGGGGAAGAAGCAAATGACAGTAGCTATCCTTCTTGCAAAGCCAGTTTAAAATCTTCCTTTGTTCATACTAATAACATGCTTACAACATGGGCTTAAATTAGGTCTGAGGCAAGTGTCGCTAAGCTGCTTTTGTGGTGTGTCAGGCTTGTTTGTAGTCACTTAAGCTGAACCCCAACAGGCATGCATATAGATATCCATGGAGAAATAAGCATTCATTTCTCACAGGTGGGTTTTCTTAAGTGACCCAGCGGGAGGGAGAAATACTCCAAACAAGCATGTAACAACTCATGTACCTCGCAGAAAGCAGTCCTGTTCAAGTCAGGGGAACTCTAGGAGGGTCTGAAGTCTGTAAGCACCTGCAGAAGCAATCTATTGAATCTGTGCTCTGAAACACTGGGAAGATGACTGTTTGATTCTCTTGGTCTGGCAGGAGACTGCATTTATGTTGCTGATATTTCAGGCATGTTCATTAAAAAAAAAAAAACCAAAAAACAAAAGGATTTCTCCTTCTAGATCAACCTCGGGATGGCTTTAACAAGCTAAAGCCAGTGGGGTCTCTTCTAAAGGGGGTCTATGCCAGTTAATGCCAGTGTAAAGAGCTGACTTTAACTTGTCCTTGCCACAATATTGCGATGATGGGCTTTTACAGCTCTTCTCTGCCCTCTTCCTGGAGCTGTCCTGTGTATCACATGTGCTCTAGTTGCTCTTTCCTTATCTCTGTCAAAAGCCAGCTACCATCCCTGCCACGTCATACTGGGGTCATAGTCCTTGGCAAAATATGGTGATGTGTTGCAGCTTTCCTCTTTGATAACAATGTTTTGCTCTTCAGGAGTACTTCAGTCCTGTCCCAGGGCATTTGACAGATGGTAATGAAGTAAGAGCAGTGTCAGAAGTGAGAATTGGGGAGACAAGCATTGGGAATGGAGGCTTGAGACATTACATGACTTTTCCCACAGAGCCTTAATTCCTTGACTGTTGTCAAAACCCACCCTGTCCCTCTTAAAGACCCCATATATTTCGGTAAGGAAAGAGAAGTGCACAGGTTATTCCATGAGAATCTCTTGCTCTTCAAGTTGGTGTCTGTCCTGTGTTAGAAATAAAGCATCTGTCTATGAACAGCACAAGACAAGTAAAATCTAGCCACTTTCTAAACTTCCTGGCTGTTTTTTAGCCACAGGGCTAACGCAGACCTCCTGATGAAAGGTTTCTCTTTTCTTCCTTTTGTGAAAGGTTTATTTATTGTAGCAAGAGCAATAGTGTTGCCTAACTGTGACATTGCCTTGAAGCTTTTACCACTCCCAACTAAACAGCTGGCTGGCAGAGTGTTCCCCTAAAGCAGCGGGGCTCAGCAGCAGATGGTAGTAACAAGCCTGCTGACACACAATTCTGTTGTATTGTGCACATCGGGTTGAGTCCTGACCCTTGTAGGCACTGCAGAGGAAGGGCAAGACTGTGGCAGGAGCTTTTGAGGGCATTTCTCTATCATCCTCTGATAACTTTGATAGGTTTTTCAATGCTTTTATTCCTAGCTTCGTACCAGGTACGTGCCAACCAAACTGCAGAGAGTCTGGTTTTATTCACAAGTCCCAGATATAATGGCAGTGATGAAAGGAGAGACGCACGGGCCTTACCTAACAGTAAGGATCCTGGTAGAGGAGGTGGTGTGTGAAACGCGGGTACTAGAGCCTCAGTAAGTTAAAGGAGATTTTCAGCAGTATCAGTTTGCTTGAATGTGGTGGTCACTGGTTGCTTTCCTGTGCACTTCACTTTGAGCACTCTAATAAGGAATGACAGTAGCAATAACCGCAATAGCAGCGGTCTTTCTGGTTGCAGTGGTGCTGGGCACTGTGGCACGATGCTGCAATGGGACAGGAAGGCAGAGAGGAAACTGATTAGCTTTTTGCAGCTTGAAGGTATTATTGTAAAGATCTCCAAGCTTGTTTCCTAGTCTTCTGGCTGAGGAAAGAGACATCTATTGCTGCCCCACACCTTCTAGCTAGGAGGAAATTGAGCCGTTTGTTCTGTTATGGGAAGGGCAGATGTTTTGTTTCCATTCAGAGGAGACCAGAAATGGTGCCTGGACTTCAGCTGCTGATTAAACATACTGCTGTGGTCAAGCTAGTAGATTAGAGGGGTTTTCCTTCAGCAGTTGGAGATATTCTGCTACAGATCGAGGTCAGTCTCTCACTGTGTATAGCTCAGAAATGGTTGACAATACACCCGTTCCCTGGGAATTTGTGCTGCTGTTGGTATTGCTCTTCTGCTTGTTCATACGCTCAAATTGAGGAGCTGTTACAATTTGTACATTACAGCACAAGCACTCAGGCACAGCAAAGTGATGGTCTTGCCTGGGTGGGCATAGCTGGAGCTGCGACGGTGGGGTTTGATGAAGCTTGTCTTGTGCTGCTGTGAACCGCTGTTTGTCAAAAGTCTGTTTTTACCAGCTGCAGATCTGAGCCTCCAGTTTTCTTGGGTCCAGTATGACTACCACCTTCTTAACTCTACTTTTCTCTCTCTCTCTTCCTCTCTAAATTCAGGCTAATCACCCTGCAGGGCTGTTTTGAGGTTTAACACTAATTAGTCTTTCCGTACATGTGTTTGAATCGTGCAGAGACACAGTGAGTCACTCAGTGACTAGGACACTGCAGTGGCAGTGCTGCCGCTACGTAGTGCACTCACCTTTGCATTCTCACAGCTAACCTTCTCTGGTGGTTTAGGGACTGAGGGAACCGGCTCCGTTTTCAGATGAAGTGGAAATCGATTACAGCAAGCCATACATCAGAGTAACATATGAAGAAGCGATGAGAGGGACCCCTTGTAAGTAAAAAACAGACTGGAAGAATTGTATAAATGTCGGGTTGGGGAGGGACAGGTGTGATTTTGATACCTCTGAGACCGAACCCACCTTGTACGTCAGACCGGGTTTGCAGCGAATGACCTAGTTAATGCTTTGGTGATTAGATAACTGTTCCCGTGTGAAATTGGGCCTGCCATTACAACTGAAATTGGAGCCTTTGTATGTGAGGAGCCATACCTGCACCAGTAAGACTATTTGAAGCAAATAGATATTTGTGTTTTAGCTCTTCCTGTGCCACTGACAGCTATAGAGTAGTATCAGAGTTGAACATTTTTCTCTACTACTTTGTCTGAGGCAGCTTAAAGTTAAGCACTTTAAAAGTCATCCCTTCTGAAACTTGAAATGGGCAAGTAAAACCAACATGCATCTTTGTCCAGAATGTCCCATTGTAGCCTGGATTTGAATTAAAGTTAAATTAAACACAGTAGGCCAGCCCCACAACAAGAACATGTCCTTTTATTCTCTAAACCAGGCTGGGAAAAACACTGTTCTCTTTGTAAGTCCAAAGGGGAGGCAGAGGCAGGACTGACTCCTGAAGGATGGCTGCACTCTCTTGCCAGAGTGTGCAGACAGTGCTGTCTTACTTGGCCTCTCTGTTACGGAAACCGAGACAATAAAAATGCTGCACTTCTACCTACCTGACTGCTGCTGAGAGATGAGCCAGCTCAGATTGAGACCTGGCAGTGGTTTCCTGCAGGAGGTTCTGGAAGTCCAATGCTTTTCACAGTCCACATTAATTTCCCAGCTGAAAGTCTCCAGAGCCTGCACAAAGGTCTCTGATTTCAACAGGGATGGCTCTCCTGCCTGCTAAGACTAAAATTCACTGCATGCTTCCTTGTTGCTGTTTATGCCTGTGCTCAGGTATTGTAGCTGCTGCAGGTATGGAGGAAAAGGGAAGGATATCCCAGCCAATTTCCAGAACATGGTTGCACTTTAATTAAGGTCTGCCAGGACCAGCCCTCTTCTGGCATACAGAAAGCTTTTGCAGTCTCAGATCTCCAGATCCTTGGCTCTCCAGAGCCTCCTGGCATCTTCAGGCTGAGGTGGATTTGCGGAAAAGTGATTGTAAGAGACTGTCCTCAAACTGACTCCTCTGCTTAGCTGGAATTTAACAACCCTACCTCTGCATCAACTCATCCTCTTGCTGCCTCCCAGGCTCTGTCTCTAGGTACCTTCAGGGCCCTGCCCAGACCCATGGGGTTTCAGCTCTCCTGCTAGGTCTTTGCTCTGCCCCTACCTCGCTGCAGCTTTGGTGTGCCTCTGCTCACACCACTCCTCTGAGCCTGTCTGCCTGAATTGGGCCAGAGAGCAGCAGGCCATTCCGAAGTGCGTCAGGTACCAAGAATGCGTGGCTTTCTGTTACCAGCAGCAAGAGAGCTAGAGTCCTGTGTGGTCCCAGGAGACCAGAAGTCAGGGAGCCACCTGCTATTACGTGGCAGTGCTAGACTATGTCACTTTACCTCTGCGCTGACCTCAAAGAGAAGAGCTACAACTTCCCCTGGCAGAGGTGGCTTGAGGAAAGTTTTGTTCCTCCTTCTTTATCTATGGATTTAGCTGATAGTGCCAGTGGTTCAGCAGAATTGTATCTGTTTTTCTTTGAGTAGTCCAGCTGGGTTTTTGGATACAGCTATACGTTTCGTGGGACTGGGGGAGCCGATGATGCTGGTGTGGAATCAGAACAGTCTCGTCCCTCAGCCAGACTGGTAGCTGTGGCAGTGGGCTGCAGAGGAGGTTGCTGAAAAAGTCTTGAGATGCCATCCTGGATGGCAGGGGGAAATCGGGCACCTATGAAACATTTTGGCCGGTTTCCCTCTGGTAGCTCACTGCTGTGCAAAAAGTTAATGCTGCATTTGGATTTCCATAGGAGGGAAATGTCCAGGGTTTGCTTTCCCCTTGGTCTCCCTTCACCTTGTTTTGGTGGATATCTGGTAAGTTTTGAGTCTGTCTTTGAACATGGTTGTATTTCAGCTCTGTCCTCAGCTGCATTTGTTTCCATGTGGGAAGGCAGAAAGCCAGCCATTTCTCTGCACAAATCTTTCCTGGCTATGGCTCTGCATTCTGCCAGTTTTCTGCAATGCCCCCATGAGTTTCAGGAGGTCCCCAAATGCGGGCATGAGCAGCAGCTGCTTCTCCAGGAAGGCATCTTCACAAATGTCTCTCTGTCTCTTTGGCACAGTGGATCGCCCCGTCAGAGTTTATGCTGATGGAATATTTGATTTGTTTCACTCTGGACATGCCCGGGCCTTGATGCAAGCGAAGAACCTCTTCCCAAACACATACCTCATTGTCGGAGGTAAGGAGTGACCTTGTTGACTTTGGCTGTCGTAGGAGTACAGTTTACCTCCGTCCGTGGTTGTGCATACAGATGGCATAGCAGGGTTTTTGTCTTTATGGCCTTAGTGGCTCTAACTGCAGCCAGTTATCCCAAATATTCTTGGAGTCTTATTGCAATATATTGAGAGTTAATATGTCTGCAGAAAGATATCCTGTACCAAATGAGTGCTTAAGAAAAAGATTTTTGATCAGGCTGTTCTAATTTGACCCTTCTATTTTTTGACAGATACCGGTGAGTTGCACATCTGAGTATCAAAATATATTAGGGGCAGTTGAGCATCTGCCCCTCGAATGAGACAGTTAAAGAATGAGCAACAGTCCCTCCGTGGCTGGTTGAGCTTTGTGTCACCTGTATCACCCTGCAAGTCGCTCCCCCGCTCCAGCTCTCCGCTGGGGTTTGCTTGTGGCTAATCCCAAAGAGGTCCCACTAGGAGCGTGGAGATAAAGGTGGTTTCATGGGTGTGGTGCCTGGCCACGTGGAAGTCAGTGAGGCCCCATTTCTCCAAATAAAAGTTCCCCATTTTGTCTGTTAGGTTCAAAAGTCTTTAGATGATGCCAGGAATAGCCTGCTGGCTGCCTGAGGGGATCTAACAGAGGTGTTTCAGCCAGGCCTCCTTCAAGAATATAATGGGAATAAAGAAACCCTTTCTTCTGGCTGCTGTAATATGCTGGCCTCTGTCCAGGCAGTGCCTCTGTGCCCATACCTTCACCCACCTTAGAGACATGTCAGGCTGCGCATGTTGTCTATCAGGAGGTGACCTCTGGTCAGGCTGCATAATGATGTTAAAGTATCAAAGCTGAGAATACCTTTAACTAGTTTTCTCAATTACCGTTAGCTTCCTGAAGCAAAATGAAACTCTGATCCTGCAATAGAGTGACCATAACGCCTTTGTGTGGTTTGTTTCCTTATCACAGTTTCACTTGCTGCTGAGGGCATTTTTATAGTGGTACTTCTGCATTTTTTGTGTGTGCTACAGTAGTGTCTGGAAGGGGAAGGGAGGGAGGAGAGCTGAAATAGTTGCTCCAAGCTACAGAACGCTCTGAGCTTAGAAATCTTGCAGGTGGAAAGACATCCCCATGTGCATAAATGTTGTACATCAAACAGGAAAGTAACTTCAGGTAGTTTGACCTGAAGTCATGTAGCAAGGTGTGCAACCATGCTCTCTGCCTCTGGGAGACTGGTGAGGAGGTGGAGGGCAATGAACTGCTCCCCTTGCACCAGGAACTGAGACAAGAGGCCACAGCCCGAGTGAACATAAGCTCCAAGCTGGGAGCAGTCTCACCCGCTCTTTATCATCTGTTTGTCTAGAACATAAATATGTCCAATACCAGTGAGACTGGTAATGCCTTGTTTACTTTTGAGTCTGATAACCAAATAAAACTCCCTCCTTCTTAATGTCTTACATTGCAGATTATGAAGAGTTGTTCACGTACTTTCTCATAGAACATAATAATTAAGCTAACTTGATTTGCTGTTAACACACCCCTTGTTTTAATACAATTTTCCAAGAACTAGACTGTGGTATGGCCTTTTATGAAATAAGGAGCTTAGGGAATTTTTTTTTTTTCATGGGCTTCAGTTTCCAGGCCTGAGACATTCATATGTTAATATGTTAATAAGCAGTTTTCTGCCTGATAGAGCCCCGGGTTCCATTTCATACAGCAGAGTTGTCTTCTGTATTGGCTGGTTTTCTTGGTAAGCATTGTAGGCTCTAGAGACCTTGAGGGCTTGGAGTGTAGGTCCCCAACTTGGGCAGAAATCCTCCAAACATCCTGCCTAGAATTGCTGAGGAGTTTAGTGCCCTGTGCCGCTCCCTGTTCCTGGTGCTTTGTGGCTGGAAAAGCTGGGTTTGAAAGTGCCAGCGCCAACCTCCATCAGCAGCTGCCGTTGCCTGGTTTAGCAGGGGTGTGTGCAAGGTCCTTTTGCTGTAAAGCATTGGGGTAAGTACCTCAGGCTCACTCTTCTCTGTGCCTGTTTCTTCAGTCTGCAGTGATGAGCTAACCCATAACTTCAAGGGCTTCACGGTAATGAATGAAAATGAGCGGTATGACGCTGTGCAGCACTGTCGCTATGTGGACGAAGTGGTGAGAAATGCGCCGTGGACGCTCACCCCCGAGTTCCTGGCAGAGCACAGGGTAATTTGTGACATCTGATCCATTCTGAATTTTGATTAGCCTCCGTTTGTGTTTGCTGTTTACAGCAAGAATTCGTCCATGGGGGTGACCTCTGCCTGAGCAACCCATTCCTGTTGCAACTCCTTAAATATAGAATGAACTGGGTTATGGGAATCGAGTGGGTTTCTTGGGAAAATAGAAGCATTTGCTGAGCTGGCAGGTAATGTTAAAATAAAGTAGAGATTGTGACATGGTGAAAAAGCCTGAGAGGGTTCTCGCTGTTGCAGGAGAAGTTGATGCTGCTTACAGATTGGTGTGAAATGCAGTAGGGAGAGTATAACATGAGTTGGAAGGCATTTCTGGAGGGCGTCTGGTCCAACTCCCTGCTTACAGCAGGAGCAGCTTAGATCTACGTCAGCTTCCCTGCAGCAGGAGACCAGGCAAGCTGTCTTGAGAGTCTTTAGTCAGTTGGTAAGATAAAGTGAAGGGAGTCTCTAGCATCTGTTGAACTGCTTTGGAAGGTGAAGGAGTCTCTAGGGGAGTTTGCTTAGTTTACCCTTGTCGCCATTAACAAGCCATTTCTCTGTGGAGCTTAAAACAGCTGTGTCCTTAGTCCCAGCCTTTCCTCTCTGGTGTGTGCTTACAATTGATATGCAATTGCCAGTGAGAACTTGAGACTGCTCTGTGTGGCTTTTTAAGAGAGGAAAGTGCCTTGCTGTTCTCTGTCACACCCCTGCGTGGAGGTGTTGAGCAAAAAGTTACCATCCTTTGACAGAAAGCAGGAGACCTGCACGTTCAAGATAAAACATTGACTCGCATTGCTTTCTTAATTTTCAGATCGACTTTGTGGCACACGATGACATCCCCTATTCTTCTGCTGGCAGCGATGATGTTTATAAGCATATAAAAGAAGCAGGTGGGTCTGGCTCAGATTCTCCAGGGCTTCCTGTCAAAGGTCTGCTGTAGTTTCTCCTGTACCCCTGTATGGCAGGATTATGCCTGGGGAAGTGGCAGTGGCCCTCTGGGAACAAGGTCTGCCCAGGGGGCTCTGAGGGCAGGAAGAAGCCCAGCTTTGGGCCCTACTTCATAAGGCTAGGACTGTTCCATGTCCCAGGCCAAGCATTGCCCAGCATTAATGCCTACTTCCAACCTAGTTATTGTGATTGAATTAACAGCCACCTTTTGAAAAAAACACTGCGGTTTGGCTTACAGATTCTCACAAATGGAGAATCTCATGAACTTAGCGAAGTGGCTCCTCTAGCTGTTTGCTCTAAAACTCAGTGGGGTGCAGCTTATTTAGATCTGTCCAAACCCAGCCATCAGAGCTTGTTATATTTCCACCCGCTAAATTGTAGGACCCCTTGTCCTGTCCTTGTCACCACTATCCTATGTGCAGTGGATTATAGTCAATAGTCTTTAAACCAGCTAAAGTGAAGAGCTTTTCGCTAGAAGACATGGTATTTTGACATGGTTTTGACATGCTTTGGTCTTACTTAGGTCTTCCTCATAGTCCCAGAAAGGAGGACCCTGGTATTGTACATTTAAGGACAAAGACATGGTGGTGTGAAGACAGTTAGGAAATGAGCTCTTGACAGGAGAGATTGTTTCCTAATAGAGGTGGCAGCAGCTTTTTGCCATGTGTCTTGCTACAGCTGTCCTGGGTCCTGTTCCCCAACTTTAGGCATGTTTGCGCCAACTCAGAGGACTGAGGGGATCTCAACATCAGATATCATCACCCGGATAGTGCGGGACTATGATGTTTATGCCAGACGGAACCTGCAGCGGGGCTACACAGCTAAAGAGCTCAACGTCAGCTTCATAAACGTGAGTTGAAGTGTGTCTCACCACAAGCTGCATGAAGCAGAATCTTACAGAGCGTGGAGACGTAGAGTCTTGTCTAGTGGTAGCACAGTCCTGCCATATGCCAGTAAAATGCCAGTCTGCAGAGCTAAGCAATTGCAGCAAAACAGTGTCCCTGGAGTAGAAATTAGACTACTTCTGCCCCTGAAACTGCCTCTGGGACCCAACCAGGGGAGCTGGGGTTTTGCCAATACTGCTGCATTGTCAGAAATGTCTTGGTGACGTTTTACCCATTGAAAGAGCTGGAGAACAGGATATGTGGTGAAATTTATGTTTTCTTGAATTGAATGAAGTATGGGTTGTTCTTGGCAGCAGCTGCTGTGTCTCATATCTCTCCTCTTCCCCCAGCCACCTTCTTAAGATAGAGTCATTTGTTAGGATAAAATCTGATGTTCTCACTGTACTATTCCCTTCCTGGAGCTGCAGGAGCAGCAGTGCTTGGGCAGGAGAGAAGGACACACTCTGATCTGTGCTGAGCAGCTCTAGCCCACAAGCAGAATACATGGCAGAAGGCACTTCTGATGTTGGAAGTAAAGTAGTAAACGTTTTTTTTTTTATCACTCAGATACTATGCCTGTTTTTTTAAATACAATCGAATACAAAAATGAAACAGGAGAGGTAACGGCTGCTTGGCCTCTCTTTGGCATGTAACTCTGCCTCTGTTTAAAAATGCCCAGCAAAAAGACTTGTGCTATCGTGATATGCAAAGAGACTTACAGCAGGTCACTCAAGTCTAATCTGTATATTGCATAAATATTTCCCTCTTCCATGCACTCCTATTAGATAGTGCTTATCTCTGGGTTTAGTCTCACTCTGTGTACTGTGCCAGCGCCTGCCGCAAAGCATCTCACAGCCCCACTGTGTCTGCCATTTAGTCTAGGGAAGAAGTGTCACTGAAGTGAAGGAGAAGTGTCACAAGACTAATGGAGATGCTGAGTCTTAAGCAGCAGTTCAGTGTAATAACACAGAGCAGAGGTGGTCGCCACTCAGATCTGGTGAGCTGTACTCTGATCCACCGCTTACTGTACAGGAGAAGAAATATCACCTCCAGGAGCGCGTGGATAAGGTGAAAAAGAGGGTGAAGGATGTAGAGGAGAAGTCGAAGGAATTTGTCCAGAAAGTGGAGGAGAAGAGTATCGACCTCATTCAGAAGTGGGAGGAGAAGTCCCGGGAGTTCATCGGCAATTTCCTGGAGATGTTTGGCCCAGAAGGCGCGTTGGTAAGGAGCCGCTCTGGGAAAAGGGGAAAGGGGATTTTGGAGAGCTTGGCAGTCATTGTAGGGCTTCTGGACCCCACGCTCTGCAGAGCAAAGGTTTACGGTTTGTTGCAGTGCTCGGTGTGCTGCCGGTCTCCAGACAAGTTGTCCCAGGCTTGGGCAGCCTGTTTACAGGGAGCCCTCACCCTTGCCAACTGGATAACGCCAGTTACCGTTGTAGCATGAAAAGTCCCTATGTCACACAAGCCCGCCTGTAAACTCCGGCTTGTGTCCTGCAGGCCACTGAGCAGCCAAGAGATTGGCAGTCACTTTGTCACTGGCCTGGGATGAGTCCGAAGCTACTTGTTTTTGCCAGGCTCTCCTGTGCTGCTGGGTAAATATCACAGGCACTTCGTGTTACAAGTGCTTGAAAATGGGTGATGATTACACTGTGTGCAGTTTCCAAAGCCTAGAGCGATGCTTGGGCTTTTTCTGCTCTTATATTGCACAAAGCATTGAAGGGACACAGCAACTCAAAATGCTGCACAAGCTGTAAGTAGTGTCCATTTCCATCGCTGTTTGAGCCATGCTAACTGTCTTCCTGCTTCCATCGCTAGAAACACATGCTGAAGGAGGGCAAGGGCCGGATGCTGCAGGCCATCAGCCCAAAGCAGAGTCCCAGCAGTAGCCCCACGCACGACCGCTCTCCGTCTCCCTCCTTCCGCTGGCCCTTTTCAACCAAAACTCCTCCTTCCTCACCGGTCAACCGCTCCAGGAACGAGTCTGCAGTCACCTATGACATCAGTGAAGATGAAGAGGATTAAGCTACCAACCGGGATTTGCTGCAAACCACTAATCGCCAAATCCTAAGTCCGGACCCACTGGGGAACTCTAAATGAGCAGGAGAGCCATAGGAACAGGGCTGACGGTGAGCACAGGGCCTTGGAGGCACCCGTTGCTCTTAGCAAGGGCTGCTGCCTGGAAGCACATTCAAACCTCCTCTCCCTTCTCCTCCCCAAATCCCCTTTTTATTGTTTACGTTCTAGTGGTTTCCAGGGGGAAGATGGTTTTTATATTTTAAGAAAATACTCTTTTAAAGCGCAAAGAATAGCACTCAAGCGTGGCTTTTGTTTTGGTTTCTTTTCCCTTGTTAAACTTCCGGGCAAGAGGGAGAGTGAGAAGACCCATCTGTCTCTTCTTTCCTTCAGCTCCTCTGTCTTATTCCCCCCACCCCCAGGCAGTATCTGTGCCGCTGCCAAACGAAAGGCCCCTCGGTTCCTCAACCAGCGTGACCTTGAGAGCACGCAGGAAGCGGTGGTGTAAAGAGGCTTCTAGGAAATAGAGACATCTCTGCTGCGCTGGAGCCGATAGGAGTCTATCCAGCAGACCCTGTAGTGCTTGCACGCCTCTTAGCTGAGCTTCCCAGCGTGTCACAGTGAGGATGTGCTGGGTAGGGGCTACCAGCTTAGCAGGCAGGAGTTACACCCTGGAAGAACTCGCAGCACCATAGAGTCGCACACCCCGTAAGCGCGCAGCATTCACAGCTCCAAATTGTATGGGGGCTGCAGGGGAAAGGCCCTTCCAGCTAATCTTAACAAGACTGCTAAATCTTGAGCTAAAATTCAGCCCTCGGTTGCTGTTGGAGAGAAGAGAATGAATCTTTGCTTCGGGGCACTTGCTGTCTGTGCGTTTCCTTGGGTGTGTGAGAGCCCAGGTAGGAAATTAATGTGTGTACTCCTTTGAGAAGTTCCTTGTCCCAGTCTCTGGTGTGTAATAAGTTTTGCTGTCTGTCCAAATGGCCCCTCAACACTGTGCTCTGTGCGTGTTTGTCTGTGTTTCAGTTCCTGTGCTCTAAGGGCTGGAGCAGTCCTTTACACTGGTGCCATGAAGTCGCTGCTATAAGGACAAAACATGATTTCGTACAGCCAGTTTGCTGTCTGTGTCGGTGTGTGCAGCTGGACTGATGAAGGGCACGTTTTACCCCAGTGAGGGGTCCTGGTCCCGTGTGACAGTTACCTGGCTTGCACAATAAATGCACAAATCAGTGCCCGCTTACTCCACTCCTTGAGGCAGGCCAGAAAGAGCATCAGAGAGCACTGCAGCTTTTTAAGATTTTAAACATGTAATCTGCTCGTTTGAAACCATGGTCCAAGTCGTGCCTGCTGTCATGTCTGTAGTAATCACTGAGCTTTGTGGCCTGCAGCTCCCCGCGGGCAGTTGCCCTCCCCGTGCTGCATGCCTGTGCACAGAGCAGGTCTGTGCATTCTGTCCCGGCAGCCAGCGCTGGAGGGACTGGACTTGGTGTCGCGTAGCTGTGAAGCTTCCGCTTGCTTTTCTGTTCGGATTTGCCTGTGATATCTGTTGTCTCTGGGTGGAGCTGCTGGGCTGAGTTGCCCGTGTCCTCCTGCGATGCTGGGAGCAGAGGACAGCTCCGGGCCTGATCAGCAATACTGCAGGGAGGTCTTCAGAGCGGGACGTGGGGCTCGGGGAGCAGCGGGTGCAAGGAGGCGAATCGTCAAGTGCTGCCACAGGCTCTGCACGGTGCGATGCTTCCAGGGGACACAGTGGCCCTGTGGTAGGAGCAGGCTGCCGCTTCTTTCCAGCTTTTATCTTGCTGATCCTTTGTCACACTTGGCCAAAGGGCTTGACAGAGACTCCGCTTCTGTTGAGGCCAGAGCCGGTATGGGAAAGGGTATTTTGGGGATTCCTCATCTGTCACTTCAACGCCTCTCAGCGGGGACGTGCACAGCTCTGGGAGCGTGGCTGGCTGCTATGGATTTTAAGCTGTAAGGAGCAAATAATGGTCACTTGGTACAAGCCAGTTGTTAATCCCCTGGTTTATGAGTGGTAGAGCACGTACTTTATTTCACCCACATTCTCTCTTCCCTCATCTTCCCCACCTTCCCTTCCTCACCATGGGTGTTGCGTTGCTTTCCCAAGCCGGATCACGAAGCCGGGCTGCTTTAGAGCCTTACTACTGTTTTAAACACAAGTTATGCAACAGTGTTCTGTAAATTTGGATAACAATGGTGTTTTGGATGGTGGTTTGTTCTGCAGAGACCTTAACATGTTTCTTGGTCTCTCTGGAAAACCTGGGGTGCTTGGTAAGAAGCCAGCCATGGTTTTACATGTAGCTTGGAATAACAGGGCTGTTTGTTGTAACCAATAATCCCTGCTTCCTCCTTGCACTTAAATTAAATTGGACACTCAAATCCCAGACTAGTCTTTTTTTTTTTTTTTTTTTTCCCCTTTGTTTTTTTGTTTCCTCCTGGATTGCTGGACCAGCCTTATCTCCAGCACTGCCCTGTCCTATCAGGAATAGGACAGAGCTTTGTCTTTGGGCAAAACGTGTGAGCCAAGTTCTCCAGGAACATCTTGTTACCCACAGATATACCCAGTGCTGCTGCTTCAGGGCTGTCCTGCATACCCCTAACCCATCCCACACTCTTCAAAAGAAGCATCTGGAAGAGACGTGCTTGAACTAAGCATGAAGTAAGAGGCAGAGTGGAAGAATAAAACTTAACTAGCATGCATTGAAGAACATGTGGAGTTTGATGCTGTTAAATCCAGAGGCATCAACTCCTACAAGACAGCCCTACCTCAGTTCCTCTATAGATCTGGGGTGTGAGGCTGCTGGCACCAGCAGCCAGCCCCTGGGAGAGGATTTTCTGATGGCAAAGAATAGCAGCAGCAGGGCAAAGCTAGGTGCCAAGGATGCTGGTAGAAGCAAGATGTGAAGAGCATGGCACTTCAACAGCATATTGCTTAAGCTGTAGGAGAAGGTCTTTAATCCCTTGAGAAAATTATGGCCCACACCTGCGCTGACGTGATTTTGTGCATTTTATTGTGCGGTCTGGCTTTTGTAGCCAGAGGCAGGTGCTGGAGCAGCAAACACACTTGGCAGTAGCGGTGACTTTGGTGGGACTGACGCTGCATCTTGCCCTCTGCCCTCAAGGTGGGCTTCTCGCTGCCAAGGGCTCCCTGGTGTAAAGGTGTGGGTTTTCTACCTGCCACAGGTAAGGAGCTGGGTCTGGTTGTCTGACAGGGGGGGAACAAGTCCCATATTTTGCTGCTTGTCTGGGTGTTGCTTCTTGGCAAAACCATGAGATCGCTGGGTCCCAGTGCTTCTGCGGGTGCCTAGAAAGCCATGTTGGTAATAGCCATGTACTGTTGCCAGGAGTCTGTCAAATTTGGCAATCTCATCATGAATCACCAGTGCATCTTCTGGCTGAGCAGTTTCACTTTGAACACAGCCACTTGCAAAAAGCTCCGAGTCACTTTTCCCCCCTCCTCATGGGACAGAAAACTTGCTTTTTCCCCAAAATGAATCAATTAAATAAATAAAAGTTGGGAGCTTTGGCTTTCTGACTCTGCTTCCCCAACGTGTCGCGCTAGCCAGAGGTATTAGGGTGGGAGGGCACCAGGGTGCAGGTCAGGAGAAGCTTCGGTGGTGCCCGGCAGCAGGCTCTGGTCTTAACACTGATGATCTGGCATCTGCTGCCCATCTCCAGTCACGCTGTATCACCCAGTCCTGCCGTCACCTCCGGCCCCGCAGCAGCTGCTTCAAGCTGGCCTTTCCCAGTCAGTGTTTGCTGTGCTGGCTTCTCTGTATGGGCCTGTGTGCACATCGTGTGTCTTACTGGCTTGTTCTGGAGTTGGGTTTTTGGCTTTTATGTTTAGCCAAATAAATGCAAAGTCATTCTACTCAGTGTGTGCCAGACTCCTTCTGCTATCCTAGCACAGCCAGCTCCCATCATGGTCTCTTCACCTGCCGTCTTAGCAGTGGTTTGAGTGAGAAGATGCTTCAGTGGGGGTCAAAAGATTACCCAGTGGTTTCTGCAAGTCATCATCATTCCTGATGTCCATCCCCACCTCTGTTGTAGGTGTAGAGCCAATACTGTTAGCGGAGCAGAGCCTGGGCAAGGCTGGTTAAGGCAGCATTAACTACTTGCCTGTGTCATGAAGGTGCTTGAAGGCTCCTTCCTTTGCCTGGCCCCAGGCTGGCAGGTGTGGATGCTCCTGCTGTGCTCTCGGGAGCAGCCACTGCTGCGGAGAACGTGCCCCAGGGACAGGCCAGACCCATCCAGAGGTCTCGGGAGAAAACGCCGCTGCCCTGGCATTGCCTTGGCTGTTGGACCCCAGCCAGCAGCACCCAGAGGTCAGTGTCATGGCTGGGTGTTGGGCACCCCGTGCCATGCCATGGCTGTGCTGGTCTGGGCTCTGTCTTCTTCCCCCTGTGTGGAGTCATCTCCTGCCCGGTCTGGGCAGGAGATGATCTGAGCCCAGTCACCAACGCAAGACTCAGGTACAAATTTATCTTTATTCAGTGCCAGACAAGAGCCCCCTGGGCTGGAGGCGGCTTCACGGATCCCTTTGGCTTGTGGCTTTCAGGTTTCAGACCCTTTCACCCCATGCCAGGATGCCCTTTCTCCCTCTGCCTCCTCTGCTGCCAGCGGCTCCCCAGGGCCGGAGGAGGACGAGGTGGTTGTACAGGGCAAACTAGCCCTCGTCTCACTCTGCCTCTTGGCACCCCAGTTGCTCCCTCCTGCTCATGCCTTGACATCGGTGCCTGCGGGTGTGAAGCTGACGGGCTGGTAGCCCGGCTTGTCGTCCTGCTTGCGGTAATACATCCGCGTCACCACTGCCAAGATGAAGGTTTGGGGGATCAACAGCTGCATGTTCATCTCTGGAAGAGAAGGGTCATTCGAAGCTGCCTTCATCCACCGTGCCCATTCCCCACACCCTGCTGTGTGATGGAGGGGCTCGGCTGGGAGCACGCAACGCTGCTCCCTCGTCTCCTGACTTACGCTGCGACCTGGCCTTGGAGGAGAAGGGCGGTGAGCAGGCGATGTTGCCATTGTTGGCCAGGATGCTGAAGATGGCGGGCTGCAGTGCCGTCAGGAGGAGGAGGACCTGCAACCACCAACACCCGAGGTGGTGGGGGCTGCACCGCTGCCAGCCTCCTGCCCTTCGCCTTCCCCGCTCTCCCGCAGCCAGACCTGGCTCTCGCCTGCCAGCGGCTCCTGCCCCGCCATCTCCCCCCGCACTGTCTCATCCCATTCATGCCAGAGGAGCCCCTCACCTCCGGGGGAGCCAGGCAGGACAGGGGCTCACCTGGAAGCAGGAGAACTTGGCCTTGATGTTCTGCTCGGTCAGGTGCAGCCGGGCCTGCCGGAAGAGGATGCCCAGGGCCCACAGCCCGAAAAGGGTGGAGACGCCAACCACAGTGTTGATCCAGAGGGCCACGCTCTCTGCCGAGATCTGGGGGAGGACACACAGAAAACGCGCCTGGGCTGACAAAGCTGCTGGGCAAGGGGAGGGCTGGTGGAGGCTCCCTGTCCAGGACGTCCCCCTGCCCATCCCTGTGCCCTGGCACTCACGTCAGCAGGGTTGTAGTTCCCGTCGGCGGCCAGGACCAGCCCCAGGAAGACGGCGACCACCCTGCAGAAGGCGTACTGGAAAGTCCCCAGCATCAGCAGTTGAAGCTTTCTCCTGGCACAGCGAGAGAGACCGGTAGCACCCTGAGGTCCCCAAGCCCCTGCCCAAGGACTTCTCTTCCACCCCAGCAGAAGCAGGGGGTCAAAGCCCTCCCTAAGGGCAGGGGATTACCCCGGCTCTCCCTCACCTGCTCATGGTGATTCGGGGCAGGCAGGGGCAGCAGCAGCAGCAGGGCCCAGTGCTGACCACCATGGGCACGTCCTTCAGGGTGCTCAGCACCGCCTCCTTCCCCCCAAAGCCCTCCACCATGACCAGCATCAGGAGGTAGAAGCAGATGGCAAAGTACCTGGGGAGGAGGAGGAAGGCAGGTCAGGCTCTACAGGCTCCCCGGTGCCACTGCTCCGGGGTAGGTGATACTCACGCCGTGGTAGCCATCTCCACCACCATCATGGAGCGTGGGATCCACAGCCCAAAGCAGCTGACCACAGACACAACCTGGGGGAGATGCGAGCTTGGCACACTGCCGCTCCCCCCCTCCTCTGGGCTGGCACCCCTTGGGTGGCCTTGGCCCCCCGGTGTGATGTCCCCACCACCCCCACACCTCAGCTTACCGTAGGGGCTGAGCTGCTCCAGCGGAGGGTCTTCATCTTGATGGGGCAGCGGATCTTGCGGGTGAGGTAGAAAGCCTCTTCCACGAAGATCGCAACCGACAGCAGCGTCATGATGGTGGCGAGGCCCATGATGGCAAGTTGGGCCATGTCCAGCTCTGCCAGGGAGGCGTGAGAAGCCTGTCCTGTCCCCCTTGGGGCCACCACAGCAGGGAGCTGCCACCCGACCCACCACTCCACAGGTTTGGGAAGCCCCTTGCCACATCCTCGGCATGTCTGGCCATGCCAGAGCTGGTGCTTCTGCCCCGCTTCTCCCGTGTCCCATGTCATCTGCCCCGGTACTGGCCCTCCCTGGGCCGCCCCCGTCCCTGCAGGCAGGGCTATGGGGTGGGAGGCTGAGACCCTGGCAGCACCCCGCTGCCTCCCCCTTCCCTTGGGGGGGGCCCCGCCCCCCCCCCGCGCC